ATGGATTATGGATGTTTTGACATTGTTTAGGTTGTTGGTTACAAATTGTTATTGGTCATAGTCAATCTCTTTCTAAAAGAAGAAAGGAGATTATGATATAGAAATATGGGATATAGAAATGATAGGATAAAAGGGTTGATTGTTGAACCTACTTTTAAAAAGCAACTTGTTTAAAAATGTTTTACATTGCTATAATTTTAGTTTATTGATACAAATTTAGAGTTGATTTTGTTATACTATATATATATATATATTTCTACCCTTGTCTAAGGTATTATGTTTGTACAGCTCATTTAAATTGTAATAGATAGTTAAGAAATACAGATTGGTCTTCTATGATAGTCAAACTTATAGTCATGTTAAGTTTTCTAGGTATACATAGATATACTTCAATTAGATGATCTTCAAACACTTCAAAGACCTACAGAATATGTTTTAAAAACTTAGACTTTCCTGGACAATGAGACATGTCTACTTCTGGCAGCACCAATTTACTTCAAAGAGAAAGATGGATGTTGAAGACACTCCATAGGGAGTTTATCTTCTTCTTGGCAAAAATAGCCATCTGGGCAAGAAACTGTTCTTGCCTGGACTGCTTGACAAAATATTGTATTGACTGGATATGCAGGACCCACAGAAAGGTGACCACTGAACTTTGCAAGGCACGATGGTCCTTTAGGTTCCTGCTCCACAGAAGAAATGGCCAGACATTCTACAGGACACAGAAAAAAAGTGACTGAGAGACTCTAGGCATATGGGTTGAATATGATGTTCCAACATTACAGAGGAACTTTGGATGACTGTCCAGGCATCCAGCTGTCTCTGTCATTCTAGATTTTTGGAAGTAGGTAATATTGTATCTTTCTGAGGTCTTTGATATAGTTGAAGACTAAATAGTTAAAATTATGGTTTTCCTTGGTTATGACAAGAGATAAGGTAGACATGAAACCTTAGACTCACAAATACAGGATAGATATGATATCTTCTTTAATTTTGCCAAATACAAAAAGACTAGATATTATAACTATAATTCTTGCTTGATAACTGTTTTGTTATATGTAATCTTACTATGTTAAAGTTAAAACCTTCCTTTTGAATAGAAAGAAAAGGGGAAATGATGGCTGATGTCATTCTGTATGCTGTGAATATATGTTGCTCTGATTGGCTGATAAATAAAACTGGCCAATGGTGAGGCAGAATAGGGTTAGGCAAGACATTCTAACTAGAGAGAGAGGAAGAAGAAAGACAGAGCAGAGGAAACACTGCTAGCCACCACCAAGAGAAGCAAGATATAAAGGTAGTGGTAAGCCACGAGTCACATGGCAAAGTATAGATTTATAGAAATGGGTTAATTTAATATGTAAGAGCTAGCTAGCAAGAAGCCTGCCATGGCCATAATTTAAAGATAATATAAGCCTCTGTGTGTTTACTTGGTCCTGAGCAGCTGTGGAACTAGTAGGTGAGAGAGATTTGTCCTGACTGAGGCCCAGGTGGGACACAGGAAAACTTTCAGCGCTCTCTCTCTCTCTCTCTCTCTCTCTCTCTCTCTCTCTCTCTCTCTCTCTCTCTCTCTCCTTCCACTCCCACAAGGTGTGAACCCCTTGTCCCCCTCTCTTTCTCTTTTCTTTCCTATCTTCTCTTCATCTTTCTATTATAATAAACCATTTCCATGCAGATGCAGTGTCTGGGTTGTGAATATCCACCCACCACCCCGCTGCCATGCTGGCATGGAGTGGGTTGCACATTGCTGCATCTGTGCAGCATGCCAGCATGGTTCCCTGCATGAATGGGATACCCTGGCCTGGCCAGCTGGGGGGCATAATTCATAACAATTTCTGTGTGTGCAAATGAGTATGTCTCTTGGGCTCTTTTCCTTCTATTTGTTTGTCTTATCCAACCCCAATATGTTAGTTTTTAATTTATCTTGCCATATATTTTCTTTTTTTAATCCCTTAGAAGCTTGACTATTTTCTAATGAGAGACAGAAAGTAAGTAGAACTGGTTAGAAGACAACGTAAGGAGAAACTAGGAGGAGTAGAGGGAGGGGAAAATGTAATCAGGATATATTATGTGAAGAAAATTATCTATTTTCAATAAAAGAGGGAAGAAAAGAAGAAGAGGAGAAGGAGGAGGAAGAGCATCTCTGGCCTGGGTGGAAACCTAACATTCCTGGTGGACCTGGTAATTCACTTGGCCAAGGGACCATCCCTAGGAAACCTGACTCAATTTAAGCTGTGCTAGAAAGAGAGGTGGAATAATTAGTCCTTTAGT